AGGAGCTGACAGGATGGCTCAGCAGTTATTCACTTGATACCAATCCCAACAACCTGAGTTCCATCCCTAGGGTTTACATAGTGGAGGGAGAGAATCAATTACCACAAATTGTTGTCTGACCACCACACAGGCTCTATGGCATGTGCATGTGCACATACATACACAATAAATAAACATATAATAGATTGATACCATGTCCATTTAGATAACATCAGTAGTTGTTCCCTTTGGGGCCTATGACCATCCCAGGTTCCTCCATGTAAACAATTTATCTTGAGCATATATACCCTAACTACCTGCCTGTTTCCCTTAAGTACCCTCAACCTGCCCATCCTTCATGTCCTCGTTCTTTTTTTGTTCTCTGTTTTGTTCTTTGTTGCCTTTTAGATTGATGGCTGATCTTGGTGGCCTAAGCTTGTGAAGGGAACCATGGCTGCAGTGAGTTCTGAGTGCAGTGTCATACCCGGAAGACAGTGTTTCACAGAATTCCTTCTCATCCTCCGACTCCTACATCTTCCCTTCTTCCTCTGCATTCCCTGAGCAGGGAGGGGAAGTTGGTTAAGATGCTTCACTTAGGTCTGAGCATTTCATAGCCATTCTCGGCACTTTGACCATTCATGTTTCTGCATTAATTGCTGACCACTGCAGAGAGAAGCTTCTCTGGCCAAAGTCAAGGACAGCACTAATCAATGTGTATAAATATGTATATTTAGAAGATAATTTGACAAGATGTCCATTTAGCAAGATAACAGTAGTAGATTTCCCTCCTTAAGGCTTATAGAACCCCCAAGCCATGGATTTTTAACCAGGTTTATAGCATGAATTCTCTGTTGTGGCGCTTGCTTCAAATCCAACACAGGTAGCTGGTTGCGCCCATAACAGTCATGCTACTATTGCACCAGAGGGTATAGTCACTTGGCAGGTTGGTATTGTAGCATGAAAAGTCCGTGTTGTCTAAGACTTGACTTTTCTTCCCCAGGCCTCTGCATAGCACCTCTGACACTATGAAACTAGGCGGTAGGAAGGAATCTTCTTGCTCATTTCCAGTTTGATTTATCTAAGTTCTACAACCATAGTGTGTTGTGTCCTCAGTCTTAGGCTCATACCGTCTATCCAGTAGTGGTGAGCCTCAAATGATTTGTATTGTTGGTGCCTTTCAACCTGCCTTATTAGCAATCCATAGAAGGTATCTCAGACCTGCCACTGGGATTTTTGTTAATAACTTATTGTTTCTGGGACCAGTATTAATCACCCATTCTTTTTATTAAATAAATAACCAATTCTTTTAATAAATTATTAATGCAGAACATTGAGAGCAAACATTAAAGTAAAACCAAAGTACTGCCTGGGTGCATGGTTCTCCTGCCCTGTGAGTAAGGGACTTTAAATTGTAGCACTGAGTGTCACCTCAAGGTAAAATAGTATTTGCCAAGCTAGAACTCAGAAAAGAGCTGAAAAATAAAAGCTTTACCTGAAGAAGGTCATGGGAGTCGTTCATATCTCTTATTTCCTTTGGCTGGATAATCTAGGCTAATTATAACAATTTTCATCATCATTTTCCCAATGGAAGAATATAAATCAAAGGTTTTATTGAAAAGAGGGTATTTCAAAAACAGATCATTCTTACAGTTTTTTAAAAAGGCCTATCCAAGGTCCTTTTTTTTTTAAGGCTATACTCTGTCAGTGACTTGATCCCTAGAGTACGTACCACTTACAGTATATTTTTTCTTGTCTTTGAAATTCTAGTCCATACCTGCATCCGTTATTATTTTCGTTCCTGTGGCCAAACACCTAAGAAGAAACAACTTCCAGTACAAGAGATTTATTTCAGTTTACAGTTAATAAGAATTTAGTCTATCACGGAGAGAAGGTGTGGCTTGGAAGTAGCTTGGACCTTCGTGCCGATGGGATGGGAAGTAGAAGGGAATGCTGGTGCTCCATTGGTTTTCTCCATTTTCCCTTCTTATTTTGTCTGGAAACTCACCAGTGGAGTGTTGCTACCTACATCCACCATTAAGCTTCCCTGGAAGCCCCTTCAATGGGGTGTCGCTAGCTACATCCACCATTCAGCCTCCCCGGAAGCCCCTCCAATGTTGTGTCACTAGCTACAGCCACCATTAAGCCTCCCTGGAAGCCCCTTCAATGGGGTATTGACACCTATATCCACCATTAATCCTCCCTGGAAGCCCCTTCAATGGGGTGTCACTAGCTATATCTACCACTAAGCCTCCCTGGAAGCCCCTTCATTGGGGTGTCACTATGTACATCCACCATTAAGCCTCCCTGGAAGCCCCTTCAATGGGGTGTCGCTACCTACATCCACCATTAAGCCTCCCTGGAAGCCTCTTCACAGACACATTTCAACAATGCCTGCTTAGCTGCTTTTCTGTTACTGTGCTAAATCCCACCACCAAGACAACTTGTAGAAGGTAGAGTTTATTCGACTCATTTGACTCATGGCCCCTGGGTCAGAGTTCATCATGGCTGGGAGGCAAGGCAGGCGGTAATCAGAGCACAAAGCTAAGGGCTCACATCTTCAGGCATGCACAGAAAATAGGAGACAGCGAAACTGCGAGTGGGAAGGGGCTGCGAACTGGCAAACTTCACTCCCAGCACCCTGTGTGCTCCAGCAAGGCTGTACCTTCCAAATTTCTCAAACAGTGCCACCAACTGACCAAGTATGGAAAACTTGGAGCCTCTGCAGGACATTCCTCATTCAAACCCCCAGAACTCTCTATGTTTTTATTGATCCAGTCAAGGCAGCCTCAAAATGACCAATTACAAGTCTTTTCCTTGTCAACTGGTCCCCATAGGCTCCTAGCCATCTCGTAATGCAAAATCACAACCTAAAAGTCCCTGTAGTCTTTACAGTTTCTACGCTGCTCAGAAACTGAAAGCATCTCTGAGTGAGACTCAAGGCCACGTCTTACCTGTGTGTGTGTGTGTGTGTGTGTATTCGTACATTCCATTCCATGGTAAGGCCCAAAGGAAGGCCTAAACCCATCAGGGCAAACAATAAACACTGAAGATCCACTTAGATTTTGGTGGATTGTCTGCCCACCAGGGTCCATCCGTCCATCAGACCTCTGTCTGAACCGCTCTGCTCATTGCCCTTTCAGTGAACAACCTGTGCCCCTCCCATCCACAATACCCTGGTGCTTATCCTGCAACTTTAAGCCTTATCTTCAAAGGTTCACACAGCCCCTCAGGAGCTCCATGCAGGGAATTTGATTTTGGCACATGTTGCCTGGCCTCAGCAGCTTCCTGGAACCTTGAGGGAGCCTCTATGATCTCCAGTATCATGTTAGTGACAACTTGCTACCAGATTGAGAGGTAGCCTGCCTTTTCCCTACATTCCACAGCTATAGTGGCCTTTGGGTGCCTTTGCCCCTAACCTAGGAGAACTTCTCGCTAGGCAGCTATTTTTGGAGCGAGAAAATCCCTGTAATAGCATTCTCAGTTCAGGTCTTCTTTTTTCAGATGAATTTGCATTTTTTTCCCCCCTCAAACTCAAAGAGATCCGCTTGCCTCTGCCTCCCAAGTGCTGAGATTAAAGATGTGCCCCACCATGCCTGGTATGAATTTACATTTTTAGGAGCTCAGGTCTTCTGTGGGTAGGAGTTTGCACTGAGAATACTTTATTACCCAATACAAAGTGACAAGTTTCTTCTTAATGGTTCAAATCCCTTTGCCAATCATAGCGTCCCCACACCTGCTCTGTCGGGCACTGCCCTCAATATTACCTATGTCACGCCCCCCTTTCTAACCAAACTACACACTTTTTTTTAATAGCTTCCTATCTTGAATTCTCATCATAAGCCTAAATAAACAGTAATAACCATTCCACAAGCCTGAATGCTATCCTGCCTTGAAATTTCCTCTGCCAAACAACTTAATCCACTACTTTTCTATTTGGCCTCAGATTATTAGATTGTGAGTAGAAGGCCGCACAGATACCTCAAATCCAGTTGCTAAGAGTCCTTCCTTGTTTCCCTGAAGCCCTGTGAAAAGGCAGTCTGACTTTCTATCATGGACGTTTCAGGCTTACACAAAATATCCATAAGCTCTGTTTGTAGTGTTCCAGGACTTCTTAACTCTTAGATCCAAACTCTTCTGTATTCTTCGTGTACACCAGTTCCACAGACCTACAGACCACATAGTGTGTTTATCACAGCCGTGGCCCCACTTTTGATTACCAGTTTTCTCTAGTAGTTGTTGTTCACATTGCTGTGAGAAAATACTGACAAGAAGCAACTTTTGGAAGGAAGAGTTTGTTTTAGCACACAGTTCGAGGCAATCTATCATGTTAACAATCCATCATGTTAAAAATACATGGCCTGGGAGTGGCTTACACACTGACCATAAGGCTGAGAGCAGGGAATCCCTGAACTCAGCTGACTGTTTCCTTTTTCCCTCTTTAGCCCCCCCACCCATAGGATAGTGCCCTCAACATTCAGGTTGTGTCTTCACCTCCTTAGTTACATCACTTTGGAATTACCCACATAGATACCCCCAATGCTATGCTTCATTGATAGCCTGTGTGTTTCTTAATCCAGTCAAATTAACAATTGAAATTAGCCAACACTGTTCCTCCCAATGGCTCTTTGAAAGCTCTCTCCCATTATTGTAGTTAAAATCAGCAGGATGCTGGTGGCTGCTTCCAGGAGACTTATTTGCCCAAAACAGTTTCAGGTTTTCCCTTTCCCTTTTTATGAAGTTCCTTTATATAATTCTAGATGGTTTTAGTTTTAGGATTTTCACATTTTTTTTTCTCTTTTTGGACTTTTTGAGACAGGCTCTTCCTGTAACCCAGCTGTTCTGGCACTTGCTATGTAGAACAGCCCAGCCTTGATCTCACAGAAATCTGCTTGCTTCTGCCTGCCGAGTACTGGGACTAAAGGTTTTCCAATTTATATGTATGAATTTCTAGCGCTGTTTAGATGAATGGCAGTGACATTTGTGACGTGGGTCTGATAATCATGTTGGTTCTTCTCCCCTAGGAATGCTGTCTCTGCAATTTGAGAGGAGGTGCTCTCAAGCAGACTGAGAACAATAAGTAAGTGATGCATTCACAGGGTTGGGTTTCATCTTGTCTTCTTCTCTCTGGATCTTCTTTGTGATATTTTGCTTTACCTCTTCTTGTTTCAAACCCCTGCTCTCTGGACGTGGGGTTGAGACTCTGCTTCAGAGACCCGTGTTCACAGGGCATTCCCCCAAGGTGGTTTCTATTCTGTTTTGATGTGACAGATAACCCTCATTTTATGAGAAGGTTTCTCTCTCTCTCTTCTTACCTCTCTCCTCTTGGACCTTCTCATCCCCTTTTCTGCCCTCACTCATTCTTTCTTTTATTTATGAAGAAGCCAGTATTGACCAGGCACCATTAGAATTGTAGTGTTAATATAATGAATCCAGTTAGTCTAGTAAATAAAAAAGGGTATGTATGTAAACAGTAGACCAAGCTATTTTAATATATGAAGTGGCTGTTTTAACCCTACAGTATTTTGTTTAACCTCTCCAATTTTATAAATTTCACCTACAATTTAATAGCAATTGAGAGTTGTTCTTTACAGAAAAATCTAGATTTTCATCTTAAGTTAAAAAATGATTTTATATCTCTGTAATAGAAGAATGTTAGTAAATTGGAAGAATTGGCACAGTGTAGCAGGTGGTCCTGGGTCTCTGTGGTTTCCCAGCATGTGTGCTCTGCTTATGTCCGGCCTGGCTCATGGTACTGGAATCAGGACTACAGGTGTGATGTGTTCATGGAGTTAACACAGTTTGTGCTTGTGCACATGAGGTTGCTTGGAAGGAAGAATAAAAGCTTTTTATCATTCCTGCACTGATAAAGGATTGTCTAAGAGCCTATAGTTTTGCTTAATTTTGGATCATCTTTCATGAGTTTAGCTGATAAAATGGTTATTATCCTACAATATTGGCCCTAGATCTTAGGTATTGTTCAGGCTGTGGGGACTATGAGATGGTTTAGGTAAAACAGATATGATAAGAGATTCTCTTTTTTTTTACCCTTAAGCTAAAACAGAAATTGTGTTTCCCTTTGTATGCTCATTTTTATTTAAGTGGAGATGGTTGATCTAGTGGGATTAACAGTTGTCCTTTCTTCCCGCGAAGACTTAGAAGACAGGATGAAGTCTAACATTCATTACTTAAGTGAAATAAATAATCATTAGCTTAAAAACAGGTTGCTAGATTAGGAAATTCAAATCTGCAAGATCTCCAAACCTTTCAGTTCTGTCTGTTTCCTTGACAGTATAGCTCCTAAGAGATACTGAATAATACTAATAGTAAAAGTTATCATTTTTTTCTGGACAAGTTCAGAGTGTGGAAAGAAGCTGAAATGTTTTAAATAGGAGATCAGGGAGAAAAACAAGCTGTATTTCTCCTTGGTCTAGATCACCTTGGTTATATTAAAAGTAAAGTAAAGAGAAGTTAAAGACATAAGTAGTTTTAATTTGTGTAGGAAACATTGATATTTGAACTGATTTGCCTCATGACATATGCAGCTTCTCTTGTGTTGTATGAAAAGGTGATACACAATATTTCACTTGTAGTTAACTGTTCTTTTGCCACATAACCATTTGCTCAAATACATTAGACAGAAGGAAATGAAAACCTCCATTTCAGTATTCTGCCTTCAATTTTTAAAAAGATTTATTTATTCTTATTTTATGTTTATGAAGGTTTTGCCTGCATGTATGTAAGCATGCCATGTTTGTACCCTCCCCATGGAGGCCAGAAGATGGTATTGGATTCCCTAGAACTGGAGTTACAGACGGTTATAAACAGCCATGTGGGTGCTGTGAATTGAACCTAGGTCCTCTGGAAGAGCACTGAATGTTCTTGACTGCTCAGCCATCTCTTCAGTCCTATATAAAAAGTTTTACAAAAATGTATATAAACATATTACTGGGGCTGAGTCCTAGTTCTTGATGGCACAGTTTTGGGCTGATGTAGGGCTAAATCTATCCAGTTGTTATTGAGGAGATTCAGAATACAGAATTTCTGATGGAATAGGCTTTTGGTTTTATTTTCCCTGTGTGTGCAATTGTCATCACCAAGTTAAAGTATGTCAATTTTTAGGGAGGTTTTGTTTATATTTAACGTCTCCTGTCCTATAGGTGGGCTCATGTCATGTGTGCTGTTGCAGTTCCTGAAGTTCGATTCACCAATGTCCCAGAAAGGACACAAATTGATGTGGGCAGAATACCTTTACAGCGGTTAAAATTGGTGAGTGGTAAAGCTTTTCTACTTCACAAATTAGCGTTAATTTCAAGTTCTGAATTTGTCTATTAGTACACTCCTTTCTGAAATAGTTTAATAACTTCATTTTAGTCTACCTTTATTTTTCACTAGCTGGATTTATTTACCCTTTCAAATTCTTTTCCTATGTTTTAAGTCTCCATAATGTGCCCTCGTTTCCTGTTTGAAGTAAAGGAAAGGAATTAATAAATTTCTTGGTGTAATGTAAACATTCAAATGTTAGGCTCTCTGATGACATTGGTCAGCAATGTCCGAAACTGTCCAACTCTTACTGAAATTGTTTACTGTTTTTCTCTTTCGTTGCTTTTGATCTCACAAATGTAATGTATCCAACCTAATTTTATCATTTCCTTACTAAGAAGAGACTCAGAGAGAAACACAAAAGCTTTGCTTATTGCAAGGGGTTTTCTTAAGTGGATATTAGATGTTTAGCATGCCAAACTTTAGCCAGTTATCTTGTGACCTATTCTAAAACTGCCATAAAAATCCACTGCTTTGCCTTGTTAATAGTGTTTTTCATTGAGATAACACTGGGGAATGATAGTGAAAGGTTTCTGGTTTAGGATTCAAGGGGCATATGGAGGCTGATTGTCTTTTGGGATAAGAGATTTATTAGAAGTGTTATTAATTCTGTGGACATACAGACAACAGCATGGCAGGAGCACTAATGAGAGTTCTGCCTAAGGGCCTTAGTTAGGAAGACAGCATGCTGGGGACTTCTCATGGGAGTTCAGACATAACACCCTAGATAGGCAGACAGGAAGGAGGAGTCGCTGATGAAAGTTCTGGGTCATGAGGCAGAGTCAGGGGGTCCTTTCTTACAATTCTCAGAGAAACTGAGGAGGTCTCATTTCAGGTTGTTGAGTAGTGCACAACACAGGCCTGTCTCCAGACTGTCCCTTATTCCCCGGCAGCAGAGGAGAGGGTCCTGTATTCCAGGGAAGGAATATTTAACTCTGAGGATGTTGGGGAGGTGGGCCACATCTATTTTAAGTGTACCTATTGTGGCACCCTCTGTTGTCCTGCCATCTGGCAATCAGAGATCTGCAAACATCCTTGGGGATGTAACAATGACATCTGCCATTCTCTTAGATATTGGACACCTGGGGAGTCTGTTAGGGGATTAGATTTACAGACAAGCTCTGCCTGGGAGCTTGTCACTACCTTCATGGCTGCTGTTAAAAAGCAAGCTGTTACAAGAGAGAACAGCCTTGAAGCAAGTAGAGATGCTGTGTCTTGGCAAGTGCTGAGGACATCTTAAATGATCAACCTTAGAGTTTCTTTTCAATACTGTGCTTCATCTTGATTATGCATATACCATGTTCTGTATCTAATGTGTTCCGTCCTTAAGTGATCACAGCTCTAAAGTAATATGTCTTGATTTAACTAAATAATTTAAAATTTTTTTATTTCTTTTTATTTTATGTTATTGAGTGTTTTACCTGCACATAAGTGTACCTATGTTGCGCAATGCCCATGGAGGTCAGAAAAGGGTGTTGGAATCCCTGGAACTGAAGTTAAGGACAGCTGTTAGCTGCTCTGTGGGTGCTGGGAACATCTCTAGCCATCTCTTCAGTCCCTAATTAAGTAATTTAAATGCTATTCAAATGACAATTTAGAGCTATCCTCAGAGATGGTCCAGATATTGTGATACACATTTAAGTGAAAATATAGCCCATAGGCCAGATATTTTTCTGGTTTATTTATTCAGTTTTATTCATGGAGTTTTGGAAGGTATTGTAAAAAAAATTTTGATAGCAATTAAAAAAATATTTTGTTTACTTTTATTTTATGTGTATGAATATTTTTGCCTGCATGCAAGTGTATCACATGCATGTAATGCCTGAAGAGGCCAGAAGAGGGTGTCTGATCCCCTAGAACTGGAGTTAAGGACTGTTGTTAGCTCCATGGGTGCTGGAAATTAAACTCAGGTCCTCTGTAAGAACAGCAAGTGTTCTTAATTGCTCTCCTCAGCCCCTGACAGCAGTTCTTTAATGGGATACTACAAAGCGAAACTTCGTTTGGGGAAGGGGGAAAAAAACCCATTTTTTGAAATGGGGACAGTGGCCTTCTCATCAGAAATCCAAAACACAAGCCATCACCTTGATGATATGGTCTGTGTTCTAATCTTTACCAGTAAATATACTATGGTGGCTTTCCATCATAACATGTACAAAATGGTCTGATAGGAGTGATGAAATGTACCTTTCAGAGAATAGGATGCTCTGTGCTATATATAGTATCCAAGGTATTTTTTTCTAACATTAAGACTTATTTTGAAGTTTTAGTAATCTAAGTTTATGGCTAGCAAGAAACCAGAGTGGTAGTTATTCATGGTATTTTATTCAGGCCACAGTATGTACAGACAGTTTACTTTATTGTGCCTATTTATGTACACGTGTCTGCTAGAGTCATTTTCAGTCACACAATCCCTCCCCCCACTGTAAGCAGTCCTTTTAGGAATTGATCCATCCATCCAGCCATCTTCCTGTTAACATGAATGGGAAGAATTCTTTACATATCAGGGTCAGTTTATTTCACCAAACAGTTATCACTTATTTTGCCAAATAGTATGTGCTTTTGAGTAAGACATGTTTCTTACCCGGCAGCATCCTTTTATCCGTTTCAGGAATTCTCAACCTTGGCACTTAAGGCAGATAATTCTTTGTTGAGGGTACTGTTGCATACATCGTGGTGTTCAGTTCTTTGATCAACAAGGACTGCCAATATTCTCTGGGATAGAAAGTCATTCTCATCTGAGGCCTCACTGGTCTATAGGAAGCATGTGCACAAAAAGAGGTTTTCATTTGGGGTATTTTTAGGGAGAAAACTTGCTTGACAGACCTAAATTAGAGACTCAGAAAAAGAAATTAACTTTTTTTTTAAGTCTTGAATATTTTTTGCAACTTCTCCAAATTTCTCATTTGTCAGTAATAGTTTTATGATATATGTATATGCTACCTATAATTATTACTTATAATTTGATTTACTATTGCAACTTATCTGCACTTACAGAAGTTGAACACCAATTGACTGCTAATGAACTACACTAATGTTTGAAATTCTGTGGTGTATATGAATATGCACAGTGGTTGTTGCTGTGACAAAACACTAACCAAAACCACCTTGGGGAGGAAAGGGTGTATTTGGTTACATGATCTTATCACAGTCCATCACTGAGGCAGGAACTCAAGCAGGGCTGGAACCTGCTGACAGGAGTTGAAGTAGAGACCATGAAGGACTGCTGCTTACTCCTTGGCCTGTGCTCAGCCTGCTTCTCATACAACCTAGGACCACCTGCCCAGGGGTCACAGTGACCTGGGTCCTCCCACATCACCCAGCAATCAAGAAATTGCCTCTGGCATACTTGCAGACCAGTCCATAGAGGAAATTACTCAGTTGAGGTTCCCTTCTCCCAGGTGTGTCAGGTTGACAGCTGAAGTTCTCCCTCACAATAGTTGTGATTAAAATGTTTGTGGAATGAATGAAAGGAAGCAATCTTCATTCATTAATTTTACATCTGGCTGAAAATAACTGTACTCTGCCATGGCAAGATACCGGTTTACTTACTTCTATCCTGGAGGAATTTATGCTATAAGGCCTAATACTACTACTTCAGAAGTCCCAGGAAGTACCTATGTGCCACTCGTCCTGTTGGCTTTAATTGGTAGATATTGTTAGGTATGTCCTTGAGCACTCTGAAACTTACAATCAATTACCACTGTTCTGGTTAGCCCACCAGTACTAGATGGTAAGATCATATGGTTGAAGACACCACATGTCTTAGTGATCGGACATAGGGAAGGAAATCAAGCTGGAACTGAGCTGAAAATGTCCTTCTTGCTGCCCAGCCCTTATAATGCTAGAAATTACAAATCAGGAGCAATGGCAATAGCCTGTATTGTTTTGGCAGGCTCCAACACTACTGACCAACCAGGCTAGATATAACCACTGGTGCATTAGTGCCAAGTCTGTTATGTCTGTAACCAACCAGTTACTTTCTGATTGGGTCTGAGGCCCCCTGCAGATGAATCCACATATGGTACTTGTAAACCTGTTCAAAAGCCCATGTCCAAGGAGATCATGGGCCTAGTAGGGAACAGTAATGTGCCAACCATATTCCCTCCTAAATAATTATGTTTGTGTTCATCAGTTGTGCTGCTCCTGGCCTTTGTCAGATAGCCTTCCTTTTTGGCTTTTGGCAGCAGTAATTGCAGAGACTCATAACTGGTTGAGGCGATGAGAACAGATGACTGTTGAGTGCTCAGCCATAAAGTGGATATCTATATCATCCCCTCCAAAGCTCAGGGAATCTCTTACAAAGAATCTAAGCTGGAGAAAGGGGTGGGCTGTACAGAATGCTGTATTGCAGTCATGAGATGGCCTCTGCACTCTTGAACACTCAGTAGCTGTAATTACCTGCACATGATGGGGCCTGTGTTGATGGAGAAGAGGTTCACAGGCCACAACCCAGCCTAAGGATTACTGGCAGTGAATGGGTTTGGAAGAGACATTTATGTCAGGGCATAGCCACTGGCACATTGCTTCCATGAATTACTCTTCACCTGTGTTCTTGTAGGCAACCTTAATGAAATCAATTGGGTGTTTAGGAACGATATATCACTAGGGCTGGGCACCTCACAGACACTTATATTCTCTGCATTTTGACCAGTGGTGGAACTTTGTAATAATCTCCATCTGTTGTAAAAAGAAGCTTCTTTGATGAGTGCTGGGAGCTATACTTGTCTATGAATATAAGGAAATATATTTGAATATTAAGAAATTACATTGTTCCAGGGAAGTGACAAAAGTTAAGTTCTTCTCTAGGGTCTATAGTTGTGCTACAGCACCACACGTGGATTCCTTCCTGTGGAGCCCGCTTCTGTCCAATGAGACAGCTGTTGATTACTCCCAGGATGAAAGTGCCATTATTGCACCAATAGAGATTATTTGCTGCATCAGTCATT